CATATGTCTTATAAAGCACGAGGTCTCAAATGTATTATAAAGCACGATGTCTCAAAGGTGTTATAAAGCACGAGGTCTCATATGTCTTATATAGCACGAGGTCTCAAATGTATTATAAAGCACGAGGTCTCATATGTCTTATAAAGCACGATGTCTCAAATGTCTTATAAAGCATGATGTCTCATATGTCTTATAAAGCACGAGGTCTCCAATGTATTATAAAGCACGATGTCTTATATGTCTTATAAAGCACGCTTTCTCAAATATCTTATAACTAACACTGAACAGGCTCGTTTTACGAGCACTCAATTTGAAACAAACACTTTAACGGGTGCATTTTACGAACACGTAGCAGTCGTAGTTTACGCAATTTTAAAAATTTTACGAACATTTCACGGTTGCAGTTTACGAACATTTAGCGGGCGTATTTTACGAAATTTAGTCGCATTTTACAAACATTTAACGGTCGCATTTTACGAACATTTTAGTCGCATTTTACGAACATTTAACGTATTTTTACGAACATTTAACTGTCGCATATTACTAACATTTAACTGTCGCATTTTACTAACATTTAACAGTCGCATTTTACGAACATTTAGTCGCATTTTACGAACATTTAACGTATTTTTACGAACATTTAAGAGTCGCATTTTACGAACATTTAACAGTCGCTTTTTACGAACATTTAACAGTCGCATTTTACGAACATTTAACGGGCGCTTTTTACGAACTTTAAGGTCGTACATTTTAAAAGCATTTATTACATAAGGCCATTCATTTGACCTTAATTACAAAAGGGTTGTTTACTGGTACTGTATTAAATATAAGCCATTTTGTCGTAAATTTAAATGGCTCTGTTACATAGTGCCTTCGGCCCAGATACTGATATTGATCCGGATGTCTCGTATGTCTTATAAAGCACGATGTCTCAAAGGTCTTAAGAAGCATGATGTCTCAAGTGTCTTTAAAAGCACGATGTCACAAATGTCGTAAAATGCACGATGTATTACATGTCTTACAAAGCACGATGTGACAAATGTCTTAAGAAGCATTCTGTCACAAATGTCTTAAAAAGCACGATGTCTCAAATGTCGTAAAAAGCACGATGTCTCAAATGTCTCAAAAAGCACGATGTTACAAAGGTCTTAAAAAGCACGAAGTCTCGAATGTCTTAAAAAGCACGAGGTCACAAAGGTCTTTAAAAGCACGATGTCTCAAATGTCTTAAAAAGCACGATGTCCCAAAAGTCTTTAAATGTACGATGTCTCTTGTTATAAACGATGTCTCAAATGACTTAAAAAGCACGATGTCTAAAATGACTTAAAAAGCACGATGTCTCAAATGACTTAAAAAGCACGATGTCTCAAAAGTCTTAAAAAGCACTATGTCTCAAAAGTCTTAAAAAGCACGATGTCACTAAGGTCTTGAAAAACACGGTCTTAAGTGTCTCAAGTGTCTTAACAATCACGATGTCTCAAATGACTTAAAGAGCACGATGTTCCAAATGTCGTAAAATGCAAGATGTATCAAATGTCTTAAAAGCTCGACGTCTGAAATGTCTTACAAAGACATTTGAGCGACAGTTGAGTGTTCGTAAAAGTCCTAGAATGGACGAGTTTTTAAATGTCTCACAAAGCGCGAGGTCACTAAAAAAAATCCAGGCAATCATATGTCAAAAAAACCAGTTTGGTAAACTTTTTAAAACAGGTGAGTTTGGATTTAAAAAGGAACCAGACAATCACATGTCTCTGAGAGTGGGTAATCAAATTTGTTTAGATCCCCTTTAATCAACAGTCGTGCAAAACCCACTTTACTATTTTCACTTGATATACTTTTAAAAGCCATGTATTTAGAAGCCAACATTGGCATGGCATTGACTGGAGATAGGATGCTAGTATTGAACTGTATGGTAACTGCAAATTCTCTCCCAATTCTCCAGCAAATACTCCATTAATCTCATCATAACTTACTGATTGTCTGAGTTCATCCTCTTGTACTCTTCGGAACTCTCTTCTATCCTCCAACAGTTTTCTAAAGGTATAAAAAGATTTTATTTTAACTTATATGACAGCTAAAAGATTGATTTTTACAGGTACCACTAACATAATAAATTTTATTGCCTCTTTCACAAGACAGTGTCTATCAGGCATGGGGCATTAAGGGTTACAGAGTGAGGCTTTGTGACCTTTGCACTCTTTACACTATTTTTCATATACATTTTAAGATAAAATTGAGACATCAAGCATTGCTTCATACCTTTGCTCACACACAGCTTGTGCTGCAAGACAGCCTTCTATCACTGCCCTTTCAATTTTACCAAGCATATCTGCATGACCTCCTACAAAATATATCACTGATTAGTACCTTTCTCAGTTGCTTGCCAATATTTCCATGTTTCAAACATACTAATGAACATTACTGATATTACCTATCCATCAAAAGGGGAATAGCAATTTAATTATGCAGGCCATAACATTTCTTTTCTACAAGGTAACTAATTCACTTGCCTGTAATGATGTCTCCTGTGATTAGTCTCACAGGAGACATCGTGGGCTGAAAAATGCGACACTCCAACTCCATATCTTTAGTGTGATCAGACCTCCCACAAACTAGAGTAACATTAGAATAGAAAAAGAAAACACTAAGAGATTTCTGCATAGAAATGGCCTCAACCAACACGGCTTCATTAGCAAGAAGTAATGCCACTTGCCATTAGACCGATAGTTCTCACCAAAGGCTAATAATCATTCTGTTACTCAATGCATCTTAATTATCCATGCAATCAATTTCAGCCTCTTGTATCCACAAGAAAGAAAATCATATTCAATTACAAATTCAGCCTCTTAATTTGCCTCCCAAAATCTACCCACTGACTGGTAATTTCACTTTAGCTCGACAAATATAACCTAGAAGAAGAAGTTTAAAATTAGCTACCTTCCACATCAAACTGAGATCCTACATAGGAGACCAGGACATAACACTTTTTGATGGTCTCAGTACTATCCATGAGTTGCCTACCAGAAGATTTAAACTTATTAGTCCTTATAACAAATAGAAAAATAATGTACATGTATTTAGATTAATAATTGTATAACTGTATTCTGTATGTTAGGCCATGTTCTATGTGTTAATTTGAATCAAGTTATGAAATCAAT